TTCAGCATAGTACTTTAAGTCCTACCTAGACCAATAAGACAAGCAAAGGAGATCAAGGAGATACAAATCAGAAATGAAGAAGTCAAAGGATCATTATTTGCAGATGATATGATAATATACCTGAGTGACTCCAAAAATTCTACCAGGGAACTCCTACAGCTGATAAACACTTTCAGCCAAGTGGCTGGATACAAAATCAACTCAAAATAATAAGTAGTCCTCCTGTATACAAAAGACAAATGGGCTGAGAAAGAAATTAGGGAAACAACACCCTTCACAATAGCCACAAAGGACATAAAGTACTTTGGTGTAACTCTAACCAGGCAAGTGAAAGACCTGTTCAAAAAAAAAAAAAACAAAAAACTTCAAGTCTCTGAAGAAAGAAATTGAAAAAGATATCAGAAGATGGAAAGATCTCCCGTGCTCATGGATTGGTAGGATTAATGTAGTGAAAATGGCCATTTTACCAAAAGCAATCTACAGATTCAATGCAATTCCCATCAAAATACCAACACAATTCTTTACAGATCTTGAAAGAAAAATTCTCAACTTCATATGGAATAACCCAGAATTGCTAAAACAATCCTCTACAATAAAAGATCCTCTGGAGGTATCTCCATCCCTGATCTCAAGCTGTACTATAGAGCAACAATAATACAAACAGCATGGTACCGGCATAGAAACAGACTGTGGATCAATGGAATCGAATAGAAGATCCAGAAATAAACCCACACACCTACGGCCACCTGATTTTTGACAAAGAAGCCAAAACCATACAATGGAAAAAAAGCATCTTCAACAAATGGTGCTGTTCTAACTGGATGTCCACATGTAGAAAATAATGCAAATTGACCCATATCTATCACCCTACACAAAATTGAAGTCCAAGTAGACCAAAGACTTCAACATAAAACCAGACACACTAAACCTGTTAGAAGAAAAAGTGAGGACATTGGCACAAGAGACAACTTCCTGAACAGAACACCAACTGTTCAGGTTCTAAGATCAACAATCAATAAATGGGACCTTTTAAAATGGAAAAGCTTCTGTAAAGCAAAGGATACTGTAAACAGAACAAAACAACAGCCTACAGACTGGGAAAATATCTTCACCACATCTAACTGAGGGCTAATATCCAAAATATATAAAGAACTCAAGAAATTAAACAACAAACCAAATAATATAATTGAAAAATGAGGTACAGAGCTAAACAGAGAATTCTCTACAGAGGATTGTCAAATGGTGGATAAACACTTAAAGAAATGGTCAACCTCCTTAGTCAAATGTAAATCAAAACTACTCAGATTCCATTTTACACCCATCAGAATGACTAAGATAAAAAATTCAAGTGACAACATGCTGGAGAGGATGTGGACAAAAGGGAACCCTCCTCTATTGGTGGTGGGAATGTAAACCTGTACAAACACTTTGGAAATCAATCTGATGCTTTCTCAAAAAGTTGGGAATAGCACTACCTCAAGATCCAGCTATAACACTCCTGTGCATATACCTGAAAGATGTTCCACTATACAACAAGGACATTTGCTCAACTATGTTCATAGCAGCTTTATTCATAATATCCAGAAACTGAAAACAATCTAGATGTCCCTCATCTGAAGAATGGATACAGAAATTGTGGTACATTTACACAATGGAATACTACTCAGTTATTAAAACCAAGGAATCATGAAAATTGCAGGCAAATGGATGGAACGAGACAATATCATCCTGAGTGAGGTATCCCAGACCCAGAAAGATATGCATGGTATATACTCACTTAGAAGTGGATATTAGCCATATAACATAGGATAATCATACTAAAATCTACAGACCTAAAGAACTTAAATGAGGACCTTAGGGAGGATGTTTAATTCTCATTCAGAATGAGCATTCAGAATAGACAGCAGAAGCAGTGGAAGAGAGGGAGCCTACCATAGATGTCCTCTGAAGGGCTTCAACCGACAGGGGATCGAAGCAGATGCAGAGACTCACAGCCAAACTTGGGGCAGAGTGCAGAGGGTCTTATGGAAGGGGGTTGGGTGGGTAGAAGGACATGGTGGGGACAAGAGCTCCACAAGGATTCCAACAAAGCCAAAAAAATCTGGGCCCAGAGGGGACTGCATAGACTGATGCACCAACCAAGGACCATGAATGGATTGGACCTAGACCCTCTGCTCAGATGTAGCCAATAGGCACCCACCCTCCATCTTGGTCCCCAACTAAGGGGAGCTGACATGATCTTGATTACCTGATCTTTGATCACTTCCCTTGGTAGTGTGGGCCTAGAGGATCCAGGCAGGCCTGATGAGACTTGATAAGCTAGGGTCTGATGGGAGAGGAGGAGGTCTCCCCTTTCAGTGGACTAGAGGGAAGAAGAGGGAGAGAGGGTTGGACAAGGAGGAGATGAGGGAGGTGGCTTCAATCGAGATATAAAATGAATAATTTTTTTAAAATAAAAATAATACTAAATAAATAAACGAAACAGTGACATGAAAAAAACAAAAAGAAGCCAAAAGGCACTTTTAGCAAGTCAATTTCTGAATCCCAAAACCTCCTATCTGATCTATGAGTTGTCTGAAGGAGCCATAACCTAACCTAGTCTCAGCCATAGGAGACTCCCTGGTTTGCCAGGTAAGTCCAGGACTAAGTTAGGCAGAGGCTCTGTGAATCCTTCATAAGCCTCAGATAACAATCACTGACTCTTTACAAAAGGCCGCTTCACAGCCTAGGTGCCATCATTCCAGGATACAATGGCTGCTAAAATTCTGCTATAGTCCTAAAAACATATTTCAGGGCCAGTGAGAAGCTCAGCATGCGAAGGAGCCTCGTGACCTGCAGTGAAGCCCTGGAACCAAGGAAAAAGAGAGTCAACTCCTGCAAGTTGTCCTCTGACTTCCAGTCTTGTGTGTGAGCACTCGCACAGAACAGGTAAGCATAACGAATGAAAGGATGCACATTTGAGAAAAGTTACTAAGTCCTCGTCCTAACAGCAAGGGGGTAGGCTGCCCTGACTTCCTCCGTCCCTCCAGTCCCTCTCCAAGTTGCAGAAGCAAGTTGTTCCAAGCAGGATAGAGACAATCGCTTCTCTACCCAACCATAGTACAAAGGCTCTTCCCCAGCGCTGCAGGCTAGACATGCTGGAGACAGTCACTTTTGCCCAGTTTCTTTAGAACATAGAAAAGCCATGTGGGAATGAATTGTCCCCAGCTGAAAAGACCAAACTACTGCCTCACCCACAGTACTCTAAGAGCCATGTCATTCAAAAGACATAAGACTTTCCCTAACGCTGCTCCACAGAAATAGCTCAGGTATTAGGTCACAGGAAAGCATACGTAAGAGTAAAGAGCTCTGAAACTCTCTCCAAGTAAACTTGTTTGGTCGTGTGTGGGGAAGTTCAAGGGCAAAAGCGCTGCCTAATGGAGACTTTAGCAATAAGAAGAGGTTAGTTGCTTATTAAAAGCAATAAGCTCCACCATGGGCCAGAGAGAACCACTGAACAACCGAGCAAGTCAGCCCTGTTGGAATGAAGAGAAAGGAATAAAGAAAAGGAGCCAGACGTGGTAGGCCACATCTGCAATCCCAGCTTTTGGGAAGCAAAGGCAGGAGAATTGCGGACAGAGCCTGGAGAGACCTAGGAAGACCTGGCCTCACAACAACAGGAGAAGGAAAAAAAAAAAAAGAAACATTGTGGGTTGGGGGACAACTTAGATTTCTGGTTGAAAATGGCAAAATGGTTGAGCATTTAATTTTTCCTCCCCACCAGGCATGATGGTGCACACCTGCACCCAGGGAGGCAGAGGCAGGCAGATCTCTGTGAGTTCACGGCCAGCCCGGTCTACAAAACAAGTCCAGGACAGCCAAGGCTACACAGAGAAACCCTGTCCAGGGGGAAAAAAACAAAATAATGTTTACATTAATTTTTCCTTCCCAAGACTTCTCTAAAATGACTCTTTTAAAGGCAAAAGGCTGAAAGAAGAACAATGGGGAGGAGGCCAGCTTTAAACTTCCCAACAATAATAAGGAAGGGTGAAAACATGGAACACAGTCTCAATGCTATATTGGAAAATTATGTTTAAACAAAATTGCTGTACTCCATCCGACTTTAAACGAATTTGAGAATAAAACTATCAGTTTAACAAGCTTAAAAAGTATATACTTTTGGTGTCCCTCATTTGTCAAGAAATCACCAGAGATTAATTCTACCAAAAGTGAATAAACCAAAAAATAGAAAGTTTTTTATAACAAATCTAACAGAGGCAAAGGGAATCTTTGGGTGAACTAAGATCTGGGGTGAACTAAGATCTAGCTGGGTACAGGGAAAAAGTAGAAATCGAAGGGAAGCCCAAGGACTTGGCCTTACTGGGGAGCTGTCTGCTGCCTTTCCCAAACTTACTCGGTTCCAAAGTTCCAGTGATCCTGTGAGCAAAGGAGGCCATTTGTAAACTCAGGCCGAGAGTACCCGCTCCCTGCGAGTTCAAAACTAAAAGCTTTCTCTTTTACTTTGAAATGGGATCACAGTGTTTCTGTTGCTCCATAACTTTGTTAACAGGCATGACTTTGTTAACAGCAAAGTTTCCAGTCCAGAGAAACGGTCAAAGTCATGGGCTGCTTTTTGAAAAGGAGTCAATGGCATAGCTGCCTTCCAAAGGAATGAGCAGAGGGGCCCCAGGTTCTATGCGCTGCCCTTGCGGGGAGCTTGGCCACATGAGGTAAGGTGCCTCGCTAGGAAGAGTCCAGGTCATGTTTATCTGAGACTTGCACTCTGGAGCCCTGGAAGCTGGCATCTCCCCCCCTTCTGACATGTGGCACAGCCAGGACCCTCAGCTGGCTCACTGCTCAGCAGTGTGTGTGCTGCATTGCGGGTCATGTGTTTCCGTGGGAAGCAAGACGTTGTTTACATGCTTCTTTTCTGAAAAGTCACAAGACACAGGCAAGTTAAAAACCGAAAGTGAAATCAGCTGATAGAGACAAAAGTCAGCACAACTGTACAAAGTTCAGAGCTGTTTACTTGAACCCCGCTGTGAAGGCAGGCGGGACGCCTCAGAGCTAACTCAGCTTGCAGCTTCTCTCCTCTGCCCTGGTTTCTGGACCCTGGCAACAGAAAGCAGCCTAGGAGAGAGGCCACTGTCCGACTCTGCTGGTTTCCTGTGTCACCTTTGGATGAGTAGTCGTGAGCTCTGACCGAGGCTTTTGTAAGTACCTCCCACAACTCCACAGACTGAGGGTCTGCGGCCCATATTCTAGCCATACAGAAACGGGAAGAGCTTGCCTTGGTGCCTGAGGCCTCCTGTCTCCCCAGGGTGTGATACATCTATGCCGCCTCATGCCCTGAGAACACCACCCTGTGTGTCTTTGCCTCAAAGGTGACACCGGTAGACTGTTACAGGCACACTGGCTAGCTGCATGCAACGGTGTGTGTGTGTGTGTGTGTGTGTGTGTGTGTGTGTACATGTACTTTGCGCAGTACATGCCTGTGGCTTTGGAACACAAACAAATCACATCACTACAGCTACACTGGCACCAAGCCTTGGACAACGCAAAGGAAAGATCTGTGTTCTTGGCTCAAGGAGAATTAGAGGATATGAGAGATTTTAGACCTCATGTTGTATTAGACTGCTTTTCAACCCCCAAAGCAAACTCATGGGGCTCATGGGGAGGTGGGGAGAAGGTGGGCCCTTGGAACAGATCTTGAGGTATTATTATTATTATTATTATCATTATTATTATTATTATTTGGGCTGATTAATAACTTTCATTCCATTTCTTTAATCTGTAAAATCAAATCAAAGAGGTTGTTGAATAAGAAGAAGAAGAAGAAGAAAAAAGAAAACGTGAGGGCAGTCATTCTTTTCAAGACAACTGAAATGCATGTTCAGTACTGTCTTCCTCTCTAAGCTTCCTAATCGCAAGTCTGAGATTCAGCATGTAGGACACTGTTTCACACATCCTCTTCTTACTTTAATCTGCACATTATCAAATCACTAAGGCTATGGTGGTTTGCTCTATGAATTTCGCTTTCACAAACAGCACGTAAGTCTGGGAATCTTTCAATGTAGCCTTCACCTAGAAATGCCATGGCTAGCCAGCATTAGGACTTGACTCCTTGGTCCCTCTCTCCTGCGTCTGTCTATAGATGACTTACCAACACGTGCATTTGCATGGCCTTCCTAAGAGCTGCGTGCTGCTTCACCATCCTGACGTGAGGCACAATTATGAAGCCATAATTGACTGCAGATGCTGAGGAGTCAAATTGGCACTTGCTTTATGCCTAGCACTGTGATAACCCACTTTGTGTATAGGTCAGGGGTTCCGCTCCTGATACTGCCTTGGGCTAAGGTCATAAAACTGGATTATTAGGCCAAAAAATACATACAACTTCAAATTCACACTCACTCTATTAGAAAGCCAGTCTTGCCATTTGGAGTGTCACCAACAGTGTTATCTACAGTGTCTAGAGAGAAAGGCATGGGTGGCTGCTTGGCCTACCTTGGAAGCATTAGGAAAGACACATTCCTTTTTTTCATGTTAGCTTCATTCATTTGTGAATTATTTCTATTCCCTCATCCACTTCTACGCAGTGCAGTCTTAATGTCTGCACGAACATTCCATACATTAGGCATATTCATCAACTCACGTTTATTGCAGGTATTTTCCATGCTCATTGACTTTTAACTATGTATTGTTTTCACTGGTGCACAGAAATCTCCATTTTTTTAAATAGCTAAATCTATAATTTTCCTTGTAGTTTTGATTTGCTTTTAAGTTCAGAATGTGCTTTCTCATTCATAAATCAGTTTATTATTTCTAGATGTTATTTTACATTGGTTCATTCTTGAATCCATGTGAAATTTATTTTAGCATGTGTCATAAAATGATGTTCTAAAATAGTTTGAAGGGGTTTTTTGTTTTGTTTTGTGTTTTGGCTTGTTAATAATCAGCCACTTAATGGGAAGTTCTTTCAAGCCTCAAACCTGCCATCTGTAATGCATACAGCTCGTCCCCAGCCTTTAATATGAAACCATTACACATTCCTGCTGGTTTCTCTCCCCTCTGACTTTGCCCTGTTTATTTCCTTCCCAAAACTTTTCAAAATTATCTCCCTAAAAGTTTATATGGTCTCTGTCTTCCCAGAAAGCACAGGCTTGGGGGGTGGGGCACACTGATCTTGTTTGTCCCGTGTGTCTTTTGATTCTCCAGGGCCCCTGGCTCAGGCGCCTCCCAAATGCATCATTAGTGGGGTCAAGAGATGAAATCCTAGCCTGGGAAGGGAATTTCAGGGAATACTGGAGAGCTCAGGATTCAGAACCAGGTCCTGGGAAGCCTGGTCCTCAGCCCATGAATCAGCTGCCCCTAAACCTGTTGAGAGTACAAAGTACAAAGAGACAGAGACAGGTGCTCATCTTTAAGAATGTGGGGCTTTTGGTTTGTTTATTTGTTGTCTCCAAAGTTTCTGTAACCTTTGTTCCCTGCTGGGTTATCAATTACCCAATGCTAATAAGCAGCAAACAGTGGAACAAATAAGTTCATATTAAAGGAGCCATTTAGACAATGACTACAATCGCTTGCTGTCCGTGGCTTAGCCTAGATCATGTTTCTGGCTTACTGTCACAGTCTCCTGGTATATCCTATCTCTGCTGGCCAGGCTCTTTTTATTTACACAGCAGACTGATCATGAAATTGAACATTATAGCATTCCATAGAGGCCACTACCACTAAACACACCCAAGCGACAACACTGCCCTAGCCCATTTTTTGAAAACTTAAAACAGAGGCTTGTATTTCTGCCAAAGGAAACATGACACATTTCCCATTCTCCTTCCTTTTCATTCCTATGAGAGCCACACCTAAGCCATAAACACAAATCTTAACATGTTTAGCCAAGGCCAGTGGCCTCCTCTGACAAGGAATTGGGCACCCTTGCTTGTCCCTGCGGCCTTTGCTTACAACACACCTCACCCTTCGCTTCCACCCAGCTACTTCCTCTTGCCTCTGCTTCCTGTTGCCTCTGCTTCCTCTTCTCCCCCCCACCCCAAATCACTGCTTTAGCATCAGGATCATAGCACACATGTGCACTTAGCATGTGCTTAGCATGTGTCTAGTACTGGTTTATTCATGGGAACACCAACTCTACCTCCCAAAGACCCATGCAGAACCAGAAAGTAGTGACAGGAGAGGGTCTTGAATGCAGGTTAGTTGTGGGAAGAATTCTTTTTTTTTTTTAAATCTTTTATTTATTTTTTATTAATTACACTTTATTCATTTTGTATCCCCCCATAAGCCCCTCCCTCCTCCCCTGCCAATCCCACCCTCCCTCCCCTTTCTGCATGCATGCCACTCCCCAAGTCCACTGATAGGGGAGGTCCTCCTCTCCTTCTTTCTGATCTTAGTCTATCAGTTCTCATCAAAAGTGGCTGCATTGTCCTCTACTGTGGCCTGGTAAGGCTGCTCCCCCCCCAGGGGGAAGTGATCAACGAGCAGGCCAATCAGATTATGTCAGAGGCAGTCCCTCTTGTGGGAAGAATTCTTAAACTGAACCAGAGGACAATGGAACAAGTTAAGAAAATGAAAAAGGAAGGAGCTTATGAGAGATCATGGGTGTTGCCACTGACATCCACTCCTGTCATCCAGGGAATGTTTGTTGAGTGTATTCTAGATGCCATGAGCAGCTTTGGGTGCTGAGGACAGAACAGAAAAAAATTACGTAGATGATAGGCGTAGAGACAGATAGACAGACAAATGATAGACAGACAGATATAAAGCTAAACATGCAGATGACACACTTGGCAAAGTGTTTGTCATGCAGGTATGAGGACTTGAGTCTGACACTCAGCATCCACATGAAAAGCTGAGAATGGTGGGCTGTGCTTGTAAGCCTGGCACTTGGGAGGCAGAGACTAGCGGAGCCCTGGGGCTCATTGGTCAGCCAGCCTCACCTAATGGGTGATCTCTACGCCAATGAAAGACCCTGTCTCAAAAAATAAGGTAGATGGCATTCCTAAGGAAAGAATGACATGCCAAGGCTGTTCTCGGGCCTCCACAAATAAACCTACACCTACATACACACAGGAGTACACAAAACAAGGCAAAGCCAGCAAACGGAACAGACAAAGGCTGCTGCTCCCTGGAGCTCCAGCCAGCTGGAGGAGGGGGTAAGCATGTTGTTTTATGTCAGATGGCCATGTGTGCTGATGAGGATGGATGAGAGTGCCAGGCTGGGCTCAGGGAAGAAGAGGATGTTGCAGCTAACCAACAAAGGTGTCCTACATGCAGGCGGACATCTGAGCAGAACCCTGAAAGGGCAGGGGTGGCAATGACCAAAGTCCCGAGCTTGTCTTCAGTTTCCAGAAAACACCAGAGAGGCCGCCATGGTGACTGAGGAAGGAGACATGGGGTGTGTAGTAATGTATGGAGGGTCTGAGTGCCAAGGAAGCAGAAAGGAGGTCCAAGTATATTAAATGCCGCCCAAGAAAAGAGAGCTCCTGAGTAGCAGTGGCTTTCACCCTGTGCGGAAGCTCGAGGCACACAAACGCCTGCCAGGCAGAGAATACGGCACTTCACCGGGGAATGAATCAAATGTTAGCTGTCTAGTTGGCACACCCCCGTGAGGAGCACCGTCTGTGTCAGCGGGGACTTTCAGTGTATGGACTGTCTTCCTCTCTGTATAGCATAAAGGTTAATGAAATGAATGGGATGAAATTTCACTGGTGGGGGAAGAGCTGATGTAAAAAACAAACAAACAAAAACACCCATAGCACAGCATAGGGATGTTCTGTGAGGCTAGCCCAGAGAGGGCAAAGTTCATGGGGGCAGTCTGAGGGGAACAGGTGTTCAGGGGCCAGGCTGCTGAATGGGGGAGCTAGTGAGCCCTGCGCTCTGAAACCTAGGCCTGAGTCCCATGAGACATTGAGGAAGGACCTGTGACAGGACAGCAAAGGTTGTTTGTTTCTGTGAGACAAAGAAGAGAAAGGGAGCTCTCAAATATGAGATGGGAACACGCTGCTAAAGCAGTGATGAGGGGCAATGACAGCTTTGAAGGTCTAAGTAAGCGTGATCAGGAGGCCCCATGATGTTTAAGATGGTGGGCAGCTCTGTGTTTAAGGAGACAGGTGCCGGGTGTAGCTAGGAATGGAGGTTGGTACTGCAAACCTTCCCTGTGGCGGGGAACAACAGGTGCTGCGAGCAGTCTGGAACC